GTATTGTTGCACCCCTAATGTATATGTATATATCATTTGCCTGACATGGTCCACGTCAGGTGTTGAGGAACCAGGGCACCTTGATGAGAAAAGAAATGGGTGTGACTTTTAATTTTTAATCTGTGGCATTCTTCCATGGCCTGTCTTCAACTTGTCTTCTTACACTCACCCCAACTGGTGAAGCAGATGGCCGCCCCTCCCTGAGCCTTGTTCTGCTGCCGTTTTCTTTCTGTGTTCAAAGGGCGTTTTTTCTGCCCACTGTCACCAAAGTGTTTGATCATAGGAGGTCATCTGATTGTTGAGGTTTCTCTGTATTGTTTTTGGGTCTTTACTTACAATATAAACTGCTTTTAGGCGACTGTTGTTGTGATTTGTCGCTGTATAAATAAAACTGAACTGAAATGAATGACTCACCACAGGGTCCGTAGGGTGGAATATGTTAAAGAGGCGATTGCAGATAGATTTTGGAAGGATGTGGTCTTGCATGCCATTGTTTCCAGGACGGATTCCTCGCAATGCTAAGAATACAGCCAGAGGAGACCCCATGCAGAAGAAATTCTCTACCTGCAATACAGAGAACAGGGTATCATTAGAGATCTTAGAGATATAGTTATTGCTCCTAACAGGCATTTAGTGGCCAGGTCTACACTTCAAGTGAAGCTCCCTCAGATTGTGATTCTGTGAGCATTTGACATGCTAGGAATGTTTTTACTTTAAATATGAAGGTCGATATATACAACAATGTTTTTTAGGCTGAAATACAGGGAGACTATATCTGCAATCAGATCTATGACAAAAGATGAATAGAATGGCACATTTTAATGTTTCAGATCATCAAACAATGTTAGTATTAGACAAAGTTCATTTCAGTAAATATAAATTTTTTAAATGATGATTTCATTCGGCACCAGGAAGCAGAGTTGCAGTCCTACACAACTCTTTGTGGCTCCTCTCCTCTTGTTATCCCCCCAAAACCCCATCCCCTTAGAGACTGTGTCAGCTCCCAAACAAAAAAAACCCCTAAAAATCAGGAAAAAAATTACTTAGAATCACAAAGAGTACCTGAACGCTACATCCACAGAGGTCAATTATCTTGTCAATAATTTTACCTCCTCACTACATATGACACTGGTTACTGTAGCTCCTGCGAAAAATAGAGCCTCAAATCAGAAGTACTTGACTCCCTTGAATAATTCTCAAACACGTAGCTAAAGCAGATAACTCTTAAGCTGTCACAAATTTAGAAGATAATCGTTTAGCCTGGAGAAATACTTTGCTGCTTTATAAGAAAGCCCTCTGTAAAGCTAGAACATCTTACTATTCATCACTGATTGAAGAAAATAAGAACAACCCTAGGTTTCTCTTCAGCACTGTAGCCAGGCCGACAAAAAGTCAGAGCTCTGTTGAGCCAACCATTTCTTTAACGTTAAGTAGTAACGACGTCATAAACTTCTTCACAAATAAAATTTTAACCATAAATTAATGTGTAGTACTTTCCAGACTGATAGATGTTTTTGTTTCTTTTCTGTTTAGATCTTGAAATGATGTGTCCTTTTTTGGGCTCTTTCTACCGACTTCACTTTGTCAGACAGGTCCTATTTAAGTGACTTTGTGATTCAGTGGGTCTGACAATAATCGGGCCTGGGTGTCACTAGTCACTATGGAAGCCTGTAATTCAAAATTTCGAGTTATCTTTCTCAAAATTTTGACTCAATAACTCGAAATTTCAAGTTAGTGCTGCCAATCAGTAATCTGAGTGAATGACGTCATTTCCTTGTTACCCAGAAGCTGAAGCCCACAGCTACAAATGCTACAGCTAAGCTACCAGTATTGCAGCTAGTCATGAATGCACAGATTGCTGATTATTTTCAGCGTGGCTTCACAAATGATGAAATCCTTGTGTTATTAGCTGAATCACATGGCGTTACTATCAGCAAACGTACTCTCGAAAGCACCAATTTGTTGCGATCCGGTTTTGAGTACACATTCCATGTAGATTACTGATTGGCAGAGCTAACTCGAAACTTTTCTCAAAATTTCAAGTTAATAAGTCAAAATTTCAAGTTAATCAGTCGAAACTTTAAGAAAACAAGTCGAAATTTTGAATTAACAACTCAAAATTTCGAGTTATGGATACTTTTTTTGTGGCGGAAATGGGCTTCCATAAGTTACATTGAAGTTGTCTTTCCATAAAATGTTGTTATTCACAGTTAATTTGTGATTTATTGAGGGGGAATACTTTTTCACACAGTGCCAGGTAGCTTTGGATAGTTTTTTCCCTTAATAAATGAAATCATCATATAAAACTGCATTTTGCATTTACTTGATTTACCTTTGTCTTGTATACAAATGTGACACAATTCAGTGTGACAGCCAGTTTGCCATACATAAGAGTATTTTTCTACCAACTAAAGACATCTGAATGTAAATTTGCAACACAAAATGACTGTCACAGATGATCCATAGTCCTTTTTGGACATGTTTGAAAATCATCACTTCATGAGCTGGGGCCTGCCGACCACCCTTCTGCCTACGTCCAGCAGCTGAAAGATGCGACTATGTGGTAGCTGGGGAACAACAGCTACAGGAGCTGGTCATCACGGAACAGTTTGTGAGGGACTGAGATGAGTAAATGAGATGTCACAGGCCAGTGAGCTCGAAGGCAGGTGGTTCTTAGCAGGTCGTCACTTTGGCTAAGAACCACCTTGCTGTGCATATAGGGGAACACACTGAAGCAAACCAGGCTACCCATCTAATACCATGGACTGGACCTAAAGTCACTGTCCCTGCTTTACTGCCATTAGTCCAGTTGCCTGCTGGAACTGCACCCAGCTTGCCTTGGGCAGGAGTGCTGCAAGCATGGAGTGACCCTGTCACTTCTAAAAATAAGTGCCCTCATAGGTGATGGTGGTGCTCATAGGTGGTGGTGGTACAGGTCACTTCCAACACCTTTTCCAAGTCAGGGGGGCACCAAACAGTGTTCTGATCAAAATGCAAAGGGGATATACATTGTGACATGATAGATTCAGACTACATTCAGTCCCTGACTCAAAGGGACCTGGTTCACACATTTTAAGTGTGTAAATGGGGATGTTTACTGATATGCAGTAGCATCAATGTAAAATAGGTACAAAGGTAAAATGCCAGTAGCCCGATCCCATTGGCCACATATTTGGGTGCATGTGCACACTTAACCACATAAATCCAGCTCACATTCCAAAAGCACCTTTGTGCCCTTTACCACTTATGGAGGTCATGTTTGAACAAACTGGCATGGATTTCACTGGGTCGTTTCATCAAGCCATTTGTGATAAGTTCAGGTGGACTGTGCAATTCGATATTACAAAGCAGAGCACCATAATATTTCTGCAAGACATGTGGCATGGGTACAGTTTTAGGGCATCTCCCAGGTTGGAATGCTGAAAGAGATTCTGACATATTAGGGCACAGAGTTCATGTCATGCAACGTTGAAAGAAGAACTTCATAAGTATGTGTATTAAGGCTATTTTATGAGTATCATCTGCCTACTGACGGTCTAATGGAGTGACTGATTAAGACTCTAAAACTCATGATTTGTTAATTCATTTTGTAACAAGGAAAACAAATGGGAATAATGGATGTATTCCCTGTTGTTTGTGTGAGCTTACCCAGGTCTCCCCAGGATTTTTGTCCCTTTGAACTGCTGTTCAATTGAAAACCTTTAAACCAGGATTTCATAATTACCTACAGAAAACTACGAGGAAAGTTCAAAGTGTAAAACTTAAATTCAATACATTATGGACCTGAGAGCAAAACATCACGCTTTGGGTTGGTTGAAAACTTGCTCCAGGCCCAAGAACATCAACACCACCTGTACAACACAGGGGGGGAAAAGACAATTTATAATTTTCAGTGGGGCATAAAGTGTTTGTACTACTCCTTTCTTCCAGCACTAAAATTACTCAACAAGTGGTAAGACCCCTTTGAGATCACGAAACGATTGGGAGATGTTGACTATGATATGGTGCAAACAGACAGAATTCGGAGCAACAAAAATGTACCACCTCATTCTCCTTGAAGCATGGAGGGAGGGGGAGTCTGTCTCTCTGGCGAGCCAGATGAATGACAGAGCTGAGATGAGTCCTTTCTAATGACCTTTTTTAATCAGCCCAGAAGGCATGTGTTGCCAAGTTGCATCTTCCAGGTTACAATAATTTCATACAGCATCATGTTAAGACTTCCCAATGGTGACGGTTTGGTCAAGACTTTATAGATTGCCAGAACACAAAATGTAGTTCTGAAAGAATTTAAACAAAATCTGGAAATGAAGGTAGTAGGAGTAATGGTGCCTGGTGTAGTCCTATTGTTATTGTCATGAAGAGGGATGGGTCTATAAAGTTCTGTGTTGACTATCCCAAGGTGAATGCTGGTTTACAGTTTGCTGCCTACCTCATGCCCTGGATTGATGAGCTCAATTGGGCACCGCTCAATTTTTCATGACACTGGATTTAACCAAGGCCTTACTGGCAGATTTTCTTATCTCCAGAGTCCAAGGAAAAATGCCTTGGTTTGGTGCCCCGGCCTGTTGCATCCCAATACTACAAATGCTGCTTTCTACGAAGATTAAATGATCAGCCACAGAAAAACCTGAGCATAGCATGTACAGTGGGTAAGGACAGTGCTGGAGCCCTTGAAGCAAGCTGGACTTACTCCCAGCCTGAAGAAGTGCAGGATTGGACAGAGGCAGGTGCACAATCTGGGATTCCCCTTGGGCAGTGGGCGAATATCCTCTCATGTGGACAAGATGGGATTGGCTTGTTACTATCGGAAGTTCATCCCACATTTCACGGATGTGAATAGCCCATAACTAAACACACCGAGAATGGTGGTCCGTCTTGGGTCTGGTGGACCGATTGGTGCCAGATGGCATTTTATAGGGTGAAAATAGCCCACTGGTGGAACCCCCTGATCAACACCCCTAACTTCTCTGTCCCTTTTATTTCGCACATTGATGTGTTGAACAGAGGGTTGGGGGCTTATTTTTTTCCAGTTGGTGTGTGAGGTTAACTCTCAGTGCTCTCGGAGAGAAACTTAGTAACTTAGTATAGCATACCAAGTTTGGACCATGCCTCACTGCAGTTGCTCCACTACATAAAGGATGCCAATGTCCAGATCACTCGATGATGACTGTGGTTAACTTCTTTTTCACTGGGGAAGGGGTTAGAGCAAATAACTCCCCGCCTTAAGTTGGGCTGTGGGTTATGGTTTGTGGCTTTGCAGTAGCAGGGAAAGGTAGGGCAGGATGACCGAGGGTTCCTGCATCAGTTGCAGAAAGACACATAGGGTGTGTGTGTGCAAATTAGTTTTTTTTCCCTATATAGTACATGTTGAGCACAATAAGCAATAAGGAAGGGGGCAAATACTTTTTGACTGCACTGTGGGGCTGGAGGAACGCAGTGGTGGACAAACTAAAGCAGTGGGAATGAACACTCTCTATCCATGAGAGTATATTCCCAGAAAGTTTTATAATAAAGATCTGTGTGTGCAAATCTGCTCTGTTTGAGGAGAAACTGCTACACCATCTTTACCTTGAATTTCAAGGCGGGCACTGGAACACAAGACGAAGTCTGCAGACCCTGGAACTGATCCTCTAAGTCCCTCAACCTGGACAGGATGACAGATACCATTTATTATGCCAGTGTAAAGCAGTTGACATGACTTTCAGCCAAAAACATTCTAATACATAATGAAAAAACAAAGGCTGATGTGAAAATTGCGACCCGAAAAATGTGTGAAAAATCTGAAACTGAATAAAATAAAACTGTTTCTCCAAGTCAATGACAAAACAATAGTGATATCTCTGACAGAGATTATCAAACTCTCAAGCTATATTTTATTGAGCATTGATCCTTATAAAGATATTTGTTCCCTACATTTTGAGCGGCTCCAAGCCATTCTGCTGGTGAAGGCCACTTAAACAAAGAGTTAACCTTTGTATTGTATTAACACACAAGTATTATACAATTATATTACACAAGTGATTAAATATTTCTCTGTCCCTTCCTATATAATGAAAAAATGTGGAAGAATAAAGAAGGTCTCTCCTCAAACTCCTTTGTGTCATTAGGTACACTTTTTGCTGAAACAGATGGGGACTCTGACTCCTTACCTGTTTCAGACAAAAGCCAGAGGAGTACCTGAGGCGCGTTAGTCTCAGTTGCTCCTGAAGGTGGTGCTTTTCATCAGTAGGCCAGTGGATCTGTGGATCCTCTGGGTCTAGGGCTTCTGGATGATGAAAGCGAACTGGATCCCAGCCCGTCATTATGTCAAAGGTGATGACGCAGCCCAGTGAGTGAGACACTATGGACACCTTCCCATTTTTCTCAAAGTCTGGGTTCCGTGAGCAGAAGAGTGAGTACAGACGATTCAGTTCCAGAGTCAATCCCCTGGTAATCTACACAAACAAAACAACAGCATGTATGCACAACACCATGAGATATAAGTTTATATTTATATTTTATGATTATATTTGTTGTTGTTTTTTTAGGGTCATTTTGATCGGCCGGTAGACCAGTGCTGCATAGCCAATCTGGATTACAAAATCTTAACCAGATTTTAAGTGTCACAAAGTTTGGTTTAGCCTAATAGGAGTAATGCTGAGTGCCAGCAGGGAAGCAATTTATTTAACACACTGATCACAATTTAGAATCACCAATTAATCCAACATGCATGTCATGAAGCTGGAGTACCTGGAGGAAAGCCACACAGCCACACACACCACAGAAAGACCAGGCTTCACATCACAAACCACTGCACCAGCTCCCTGCAGCACCATATCAGTGAGGGGACAAAGGCTAGCCCTTAGGAACACGGTTTGTAGTAAGAATATTTATTTATTGTTATTGTTTATCATTTATTAGCACATTGAAATAAAAGGTTAAAATATAAAAGTTTTATCGTTGTCATGTGTTGAGTGTGAGAAAAGTGAGGATCCAAATGCAGACATGCAGAGACTTACTGAGGTAAACTAAAAGTAAGGTGTTTTATTTGGCCGATTGCAAAAATGCATGTGAAACAAAGTGCAAAGGGAAACTGAAAACAATTAACTAAATTATTAAACTATTAAATCTGATAGCAATTAAGCATCTGGGAAATCCATTAACTCCCTGCACTAAAGGGAAAATTAACTGCCACATGTAAGTGACACACTCTGTAAGCAAATCATGAGAAAGGTGGTGGATCAGCCCAAAACTACACAAGAGGAGCTTGTTGATGATATGAAGGCAGTCGGGACGACAGTCACGAAGGATTTCTCCATGAAGTACTAAGTCATGTTTTGCTTGGGGACCAAATTTATGTTTTTTTGGTTGGCGTAGGATTTTTTGTTGATATCCTGTCTTTTTTCATTAAACGAACCTACCATCAAAATAAGAGAATGGTCATTTCTTTTTAAGTGTAAGTGTAACAACTTTGACTTACACTTTAACCTCAATAGCTCATCAGTTGGATCAGCCCACAATGGGCAATCTTTGCTCACCACGTGCATCAGTGAGACTTGCCTCCTCATGACCAAGTCGCTGGATCACCACCATTCCTTCCTTTTGACCACTTTTGATTGATACTGACCACTGCAAACTAGGAACACCTCACAAGAACAGCAGTTTTGGAGATGCCCATTTTCAGCTGTGAGGACAAAATGTTCAATTGCTCACTATTATATCCCACCCATTAACAGGTGCCATGAAGAAGATACAAGAGAAGAAGTATGAACTAAACCTCTTCCGAGAACATGCATATGCATTTGTATTTGCTTTAAACCAAAGGGCAATTTGACTGCTACCACTGACAGTGTGTAACTATCCTTGTTCTTTGATATATATATATATATATATGT